GCATTTCAACTATATAGGTTGGAAAGAAAGTCCTGTCACTGTTGTGATTTTTTTCTTTTTTATTTTCTAACTCAACATGAAATAAAAACTAATCAATAATATAATCGCCAACTCAGCTATCCCCTTCTCCCAGAACTGAGGAGGCTGCGAGTCGAAGAAGTAGGCAACTTCTCGATTGATGCCATCAAATTCGCTGAAGGTTTTCTTACCTAGGAAAGCCTTGAGGGAGCGGAACAAGTAGTAGTCGGAGGGGGCTAGGTCTGGAGAATATGGTGGATGGGGAACGGTCTCCCGGGTTCTGATCCGGGAGGTCCCTACCACAGCGCTGGCAAGGCCAGCTTTCAAGTTGTTCTCCGGGATTCCCGTAAATGGCGCTTTCTTCAGAAAAGTGACCTCTCGCTGAACCTCATACCATTACATCTATATTAACAAAGCGAAAACGAAATTAGCAAGAAATAGACGCAGTTGAATGATCAAAACAGTTCGACTCTTCTCGACCAAATATCGTACAAAAGTGATTAGGCTTACGTAGTACAATACGGTTGCGATTCTATTTCCAGTGTTGAGGTTTTTGAACGCGTTCTTCTCTTCTTTCTACAAAAAATAATATTGATACAACAGAAGCACTCACATAGAATAGCACGGTAGCGATGCGATTGCCATTCTCTCGGTAGGGTTCCTTTTCGCCTCTCTAAAACGGTGCTCGAGAATTCAGTGATTATGGACGATCACGGGGTGGGGTGGATTAGTGAACGACACGGTTCATTAAAAAATATCCAACTAATTGAAAACTCATTAGTAAATACTTCCAATGAAACTACAGCAAATATTGCCCTACGGGTTAGTAACGAAGATGGTGTCACTGAAATGACGACGTGCTCAAACGAGGCAGGAAACTGCTTACAAAGGTTCTGAGTGCAAGTGGATACTGTGCAGGTGAGCTGATCCCTCTTCCAGACAAACCCCTACTGTCCACAAATGAACAACGTTCAAGGAACTGATGCTGGGAACCTTTCCCACAGAACACTCCGAACGAATGAGAGGACATACTAAGGACACTTCCACTAACATAAGTTATGTCATGTAGCTGTGACCTTCCTCACAGCATTCTGGGGTTTAGAGAGCATGCACAATCACATCGCTTACCGTCGACATGTCAAAATGTGGAGCATAATGACCACCAAGGCCATAATTAGCTATCTGTAACAATAGGTTGAAATTAAAAAATACTACAAACTAAAACTGACTCTTGCAAAATCGAAATGAGGGTCATAATGACCACCAAGACCATAGTTCGCCACCTGAAACGAACACTGTTTCAGAAAGGCAGTTATAAGTGGATCGAACACACATAAACTAATAGAAGCTAGAAAGGAGTAAGGTTTCCAGGGTTTAAACGGGGTGGGGAGGGGTTTGAAATGGGAAATGCGATTGCCGGTTTGTTCGCAAAATTCTTAGTACTTGTAATAAGTGTATAACTGTCCCAACTACTGTCCTTTCGTCTGACCATTGGGCATGTGTAGTACTTAGCGACCAGACGATATTGGCCGGAACGATCTTCAGTGCGAGAATGCTGTGAAAAAGAGCAGGTGCCGGCCAATCCTGTGTCCGCATAGTGGTCTCGTGTTAGGATTCGATAAGGTTTTCAGCCCACGAGCGTGCCGGGTTCGAATTGCCCGGCATGGGAACACATTTTGCGGTGTGTTCGCCGTAGCAACGGCTGATTATTGGGCATATGTGCATACATGGTACTTAGCGCTCACAATCCGATTGCAAATGAGAAAATGAAATATACTGCGACTATTCGTTCGCATCCGAAGATGTATAGACACTTTGTTTCTAGTAAACACCCATAGCCTAGAAAACTATGCATTTTTGATTTGAGAAGGTAGCTAGGAAGCTAGAAAGACAGGCAAAGGCGTGCCCCAGAAAGGCAAATTCGGTAGTTATTTTGGTCATGATGTGAAGGGCCAGTGCATGAAGCTCATATTTCTGCGGTTAATTTTGGGAAGGAAGAAGTGCAACTCCTTACTTCCTGGTGAGTACGAGTAGACGTCTCATGTGAAGCATGACCATAGAAATGTTACCCCGTGGGATATTTCGTTTGAGACAACTATTATTAGGGTGTCCACAAAGTTCGTTTGGCCTTTGAGTAAGCAGCGTCGCGTAACAACGGTGTGAAATGATAAAGATTTCGCGATACTGAAAGTAGCTCCCCGATGGGCTATCTTCTGAGCTAGCTAGGTCATCTAAATTCCTATCTTCCTCGCTCCATTCCCAACATAAAGCAGTGAAGATGAGTGATAGTCACCACCACCGCCGATGTTTGCTGGACTACTACAACCTGGGCATCTCCAGACGTCAGGCCACGACCAGGATGCGTCAGCAGTTTGGTAATAACACCCCTTCTAAGAACTGGATGTCAAAATGGTGGACTCGCCTCACCAATGAAAACTATGGCATCGAAGATATGCCGAGGTTTCTGGTTTCTCGCCCAGCCGCGTGTCCACTTACAGCATCCTAAGCCGCATCAATGACACAGTCGAGCGGCAGAGACCCCTCTCTAAAAAATAGGCAGGAGTCAAAGGTGAAAAGCTGACCGCGCTGTGCTCCAAGAAACTTGCAAATCGTGGTTCTCTGAACAACGCAGCGCCCCTACGACGAACTAGCGAGAGAGTCTCAGAACCTTCCTGGATAGGCTGGGCATCCGCGAACGATGCACGGCAGCCACCGTACTAGGCCGGACGATCTATCATGCTACTTACCACATCTTCCGGTCCATGCAAAATTTCTTGGACGGAAAACAGCTGAAGAACGAGCGCGACCTCGAGGACGTGATCGAGGACTGGGCCGAGTCGCGGCCGGCCAGCTTTTGGGAGGATGGAGTTGCCTCTCTACCCGATCGTTGGCGAAAGGTAGTGGGTATGCATGGAGATTATATCATGGACCGGTAAGTTCAACTTGGTGAGATATCTTTAGGCACAGCCTGAAAAACGCCCATGGCCCAACGAACTTTGTGGCACCCAGTGCAAGCCTATTATCTTGCTGGACAGAGGCGTGGCCACGACTATGCCAGAATGGAAATTTCTCGCCGAAGCAAAGCCAAAGGGATCTCGAGTGGGGTGTTCGTAGCAAGCCCCTCTTCAGTTGGTCTGTTGTATATGTCCACCTCAGAGTACCTTTGTCAATCAGTAAGCAAAAAGCATTAGAAAGACCTGTAAATCTTCTGATGTGGCCTGATTGAGATTGGTCATGTCGCCGATCCTCCTGTTAACTCGAGCAACTACCTCATGCTCACCTTCCTTAAGCCATGCACTGAAATTATTGATCGCTTATTCTTCTAATACACAAGTGGTTTCACTGCTAGGAAAATAAAGTACACACAATAACAAAAAGAAATTAATGAGTGAATGGAAAACAGACATGGAAGGACGAAGGACAACGATTCACTATTACCTCTTACTAATACGGTAGCTGGCTGTCTCTAGTTCACCCGTCACAGCATTCTGTACAGTAGCACGTTTCAGCTGAAAACGAAACCACGCAATCATGCAGGTCAACAAAATTCGTAAGAGGATTTCTACTTTTCAACGAAACGAGTTGCAATCCCGTGGGGACACACCAGAACATAAATGGATCTCAACAGGCACACACTACGGGTTACGTGATAAGTTCTTTGCTGAAAGTTTCACACAAGATGGATACCTTTTGGAAATACGGAAGTCGGCGGTGACCAAAGAGCCGTCATCGGCTTTCACCGTTGCGCGCTCCAGCTCAAAATTTTAAGGTCTTGATGAAAAATGGAAAACTGATGGTGAATTTCGTTCATACTTTGCGGTAGCGTCCATTAGCGTCACCGGCGTCCACTAGCGTTCCGAGCGTCTGGCAGCGTCAGCGACTAGGAAAGTATAGATATCGATCTAGCGTCTGCCAGCGTCTGCCAGCGTCCACCAGCGACCGGGAGTAGAGAGTATGGGGAAGTAGGAGAGCAGCAAACAGCTGGCTTAGGCGTCGCAATTGCGGCGTGTGCACCGTATAACTACACTACGTAGTGAATTAAATTGCATAATTCCGGGCTTTAACAGTTGCGCGGTGCGGTTGAACACGCCGCAATTGCGCAGGCTAATCCAGCTGTTCGCCCCATACCCCTACTTCCCCATACTCTCTACTACCGGTCGCTGGTGAACGCTGGTAGACGCTGACAGACGCTAGATTGATACCTATGCTTCCCTCGTCCTGGCAGACGCTATATCGATACCTACATTTCTAGTCGCTGACGCCGCCGGACGCTTGGAACGCCAGTGGACGCTGGCAGACGCTAGATCGATACCTACTTTTCCTTATCGCTTATGCTGTAGGAGGCTCGGAACGCTGGTGAACGCGGTCGCAAAGTATGAACGCAGGCTGAATCTATTCTCTTTCTGTTCTGCTCACATAGTATTGGCTTTGGGAAAATGAGACTTTCTTTTGCGGAATTACAGCCTGCACCAGCATTTAAAAGCAAACTTTTTGCATTGCTACAGGGGCAGTGAGTCACCCTTCGTGAAGGGCTTCCGACTGTCTGTATTAAAGTTCAAAAACTCGTTTTAGGTTTGTATACCGCGACGCGAATCATTATTTCAAATGCAATCCACCTATCGGAGATAATATCTCTATGAGTTGTCACGCTGAAATTTCTAATCATCTACAGAAAGACGATTCAAATTGAAAATAGCTGTCAGTGATACCTTTGGGGTGGCTAAAGACTTGATTACTTCAGCTTCGTACTCAGACATGACCTCTTTGAAGAGCACTGCGAGAGGCTCCTAACCTGAGAATCTCGACCTTGATGGGAGCAAGTCGGAGGAATGGCTTGTCCATCTAGAATGGAACGCTGACATTGAAAATTTAGAGGATGGCGTTGTTTTCAGCAATTAAATGGTTACCTTATAGTAGCAGTAGAGTTCTTTCTCCTCCTCTGGTGGAATAGGTGGAGCCTCACCACGGCACAGTGCTTCGTAAGCATCACGTTCAACGATTCCGTCGTTCTCTACTCGCTAAAACTTATTCGTAAACATGCGCTTCATATTGGAAAGGTGTGAACCTTCAAGCTAGAACTTACCTTGTTGACGATTGGTGGCAGATCGCCTTCCACGAATCTTTCCTCTTAAGCATGTCCTCGTACCACTTTTACATTGTCCTAAACGACATGAAATTACTCATACAGTACATGGAAACAGCCAAAGCCAAGCAGCTCGGTTACTCGCTAATGACTAGCTACGAAGACAAACTCTCGCGAATGATGATTGTGGGATGTGGCTGCTAGGTTACAATTCTATAACCGGCTAAAATCAGACCACGGACGAGAAACGTTAAAAAAACCATGGAGAACCCCCTCCTCATTAGAGAAAGACGTGGTAGTCTTTCGGACGAGTTTTCCGGATCTGCTCGTTGAAGACCAGGAAGGCTATATCCTGCCACCTCTAGCTCAATGACGGTTTCTCCACATGGAAATGGAAAAGGAAAATCGGATAGCTCAATGACGGTTTCTCCACATGGAAATGGAAAAGGAAAATCGGATAATCGAAGAAAATGGAGAATCTGGACGTTGTGGCAAGCCATAAAGCGGCGTCCTCCACTGTTCAGATTGAGAAGTTCGCCAGCAGACTAAAGAATTGAGAATGTATAGAATGTAGTTTCACGACGTATTCCTTGCCGTGCAAGTCCAGCATCTTCTTCTACGACAATGATCCATTTTCCTGTGAACGAGAGCTAACCCGCATCTGAGTGGTCCCAGAGATATTCACCCTAAGACTGCTGAGCAGTCTTCAGGTCGCATTTGTGTGTATGCTTTGAGTGCAAGAAAATCCCAAGGAAAGGCCAACACATCATCGACCAGCAGATTGACATGAGGACATCATCACCCAATCAGCTTTCCAACCTGGCACTTTTAGTATCGTTGCAATCAGTCGGAGCGATGTCAAGAGGCGGCAGTCGGAGAGGGCTCACTCCGCTTCTCCTGACACTGCCCCGACTGACTGCGACGATATTTTCAAATTAAGAATAAATCCACTTTGAGAAGCAATTTCGTTCTGT